GCCGCCTTGTCCCAAGCAAAGGCGGGTGGCTGTTTTTCGGGGGGGGGGGGAACCCCGCGCTGCGCGGAAGGAGTCTCCGCTTTGCTCTGCTGCTTGGGCTGGAAACCTGCGCTGGGTTTGGGTGTGGAAAGCGGCTGGGAGAATGCCCTGGGTGCTTTGGGGCTGGTTTCTGAAAATACGGGTCCGTTTGTCTGTCTATCGGGAATGCTAAGTTTTAGCAGGAAAACCGTCTATTCGCCTGAAAATACCTGAAAAAAAACGCCGAGAGAGCTGCGGGGCGTTCAGTCCTGGCTGTAACTATTTTTAGTAGAAAAAAAAATGCAGGAGTTTGTGAAATGTATTTCAGATCTTTTTTTCAGGAGTTTAAACGCAGGGGAAAGGCAGTTTTTCTCCGATTGCCTCTCCGCTGTGGTATTTCAACGCCATTAATTCGGGAGAAGCCTGACCAAAAAGAAGTTCTGCCTTTTGAAATACAAAAAAAAAGAAAAAGAAAAAGGGAGGGGGGGAAGGACGCTATACTTTTAATCTCTTGGGCAACTGTAATTTTAAACGAAATCTCAACATGATGCTACCCTCATTAGTTCCGAATGAAGGTTCATTACCTAGACAGTATGAATATTTTATTGCTTTATATCCCTTTTTCGGAAATGAAACGCCTTTGATCTTTTTCTCGGGTTGTAAAAAGAATTGCCTGTCATTAAAAAAAAAACCTGTCGCCCCATCTGCCTTTACATTCTGTATTTCTTTTCATCTGTTTCTTTCCTTCTTTTTTTTTTTCTTTTTTATTATTCATCCGCACACGCGCGTCTAAACCCGAACCTTGGTTGACCTCCAAGAACGAAAAATGGATGAAATCTCGGCGCTGCGGACCGGGGAATAACCACGGGGGTTGCGGGGCGGAGGGGGACGGGGCTGCGGCATTTTGCTTTTAAACCACGACGATTTGGATTCGAGTCTCGTTGTGCGTCTATATTTCTGTATTCTCAGTCCAGAGGTTGAGTTTTATTTTAGCGTAGCGGTAAATTAATGCAGAAGGAGTGGAGGAGAAGGTAGAAAGCTTCTAGTTTTTCTCGTCTAGTATCGGCTATTCGGGTACAGAGCTGGTGCTTGAATTAATCGTCTCTCCTCTGAGGAGTGAATCTTATAAACATCTTCAGATTAATCCTTGATCTCTCCAGTCACATAACTCCCCCCCCGCCCCAGAAGATAATTTTGGCCGTAGGTGAAGATCTCTGACCGAGGAGGATGCATCTGTCTTCTATATGTACCCTGTAGATCCGAATTTGTGTAAAGGAAGTTGGGTCACAAATTCGTATCTAGGGGAATATGTAGTTGACACAAACACTACAGGTCACAGTCCCAGAAGGCATTAAAAAAAAACCCCAAACCCAAAAAAGCCACCCACACCCCCCAGAACCCTAAATAAAAGGGTGAAAACAAGGTCTTCACCAGAAAACTGGTTTATAGCCGAAAAGAAATACTTTGGATTTGACCTTAGCTCAACTCCAGCGCTCCCGCGATAAACTTTATCATCACTGCGAGATAAAATCTGAGCCGCGAAGACGGGAGGGGGGGCTCGGGGGAGTTATTGCTGCGATTTAAGAGCCAGGGTCCCACCGTTGCTTTAGTCTGTGTAATCCCAGCACTGACACCGGAAAAAAAAATTATATATATATATATAGCTTTCTATCCTGCCGCTTGCGAGGAGCTTATTGAGTGTTTTAGGTTTAAACATGAATTTGAGGAATTAGGGGAGGTTGTTGAAAAGCTGCTGGTTTGCTCTGGCTTTTAGGGCGTCTTTATTACGAGCAGGGGGAGGCGAAGCCGCGTTAGGACTCGGGCTAATTCGCTTTTGTAATTGTTCATCAAGTCCTCGATTCCTCGCTCGGAGGACGGGCTCCTTTTTTTTTTCCGTCGGTGCGTGGGAAACCGGTCAATCCCAGAGCACGGCTCTGTGTGATTTAGGAGACCGGGTACCCCGAATTAGCTGATGAATTTCTTATCGATCCCAAAGCAGCCCTATTCATCTCTGCCAGGCTCGGGGCGCGACGTCCCTTCCCGCATCACCTTAGCGCGGAAGGAGACGCGGCCAGCACCCGGAGGGACGGCTATGGAGCGTATGCCGCGGCCCCCAGCCCCCTGAAAAAAAGGGGATTTACCTTCTTTTTTCTTTAAATTTTTACAATTTTTCCCTTTTTTCCTTTTTTACATTTTTCCTTTTTTT